AAATCATTAACAAAACTAGCTCGATCCTCTTCGTTCATGGCTGTGAGGTGTGAGAGGCAGCTCAGGTAGCTAGGTTATGGGGTTCAACAAAGTTAGAATTAGGGGTAGAGTTCGAGAGCTTGGAATAAGGGGTAGAGTTTGTGAGTTTTGGTTTTGGATAGGTCTTCATCGTTTTGAGTCAGAATCGATGGGATCAAGAAATTTTTTAGAGATATGATAGAGATGAAGAGAGAGGGTTTGAAAGTGAGGAGAAGATGGGAAGAGACGGCTTCATCAAGAGGGAACTTAGAAAATTTTGTGCAAGTGTGAAAAATTAGGTTGATTGAGATAGACTTGAATGAAATTTGGGAATGCAACATTGTGTACAAGGCCAAACCTAGCCTTGTGCATTAGCAAGATAGGGAGATTTCAATCAAATCTAAAAATGCAAACATTGGATAGCTAGAGAGAAGATTCTAAGGTACCTAGACTGAACAAAGGTTTACATGTTGATTTACAAACGCACAGAGAATTTAGAGCTTGTTGGTTATGCTAATGCGAATCGTGGGAAAGCATATGATGATTACATCTCTACTTCAGGTTTTCTTTTCAAGATGGCACGAGCAACTGTTGCTTGGAAGAGTGCTAATTAACAAATTGGTGTTTCGAGTTCAACTATGTTTTCAGAATACATAGCTTTCTATGAAGCCAATACTCATGCAGTATGGCTAAGGAATTTTATCAAAGATATTAAGATGGTGGAATCGATTTCAAGACCAGTGCATATATACAATGACAACATTGCGGCTGTTTTTCATTGCATGACCAACAAGATGTCATCTAGACTTTAGCACATTGGCAAAACGTATTTGATAGTGAGGGAGAAGGTGGCAGACAACTAGTCAGGTTTGATCATATCATAATTCAAGATATGATTACAGATCCGTTTACAAAGTTTCTGCATTCATAAGGTTTTTTGAGACATGTTGAGAGCATGAGATTATTTCCTAGCTTTGATGCTGCAATCCAGTGCGAGTCTTGTTCCCATTATGATAGTTTTCTAGTATGTCTAATTTTTTCTGTTTTTTGGATTGAGGGATTTGCATTTAAGGATGTTAATTTACTTGATAGTTTTGATTATTGAATAATTTCTACCATTTTGAGTATTTAGCTGTTTAAACTTATTATGCATTTTGTTTATGTATGTGAGTTTATATGGTCTCTTTTGAGATACTATTGTTTTAATAACATTGCGGATTGACTCTTGCTAAGTCGTAAAGGGGTATATGTACTAAAAAGTATAAAGATTCACATTATCGGTCAGTACATGTTAAGGTTCGCGTTTGTAGGTGCTTCATGTGTTTTGAGATTACATCATGTTGTCTAATTGCTTTTCACTGTAGCTTGAAGGGAAGGACTTAACTATTTTAAACTATGGCCAATAAAGATGATCAAACTTTTGCAATACAGAAGCTTAGTGCTCTAGTGCTTGATCTAATGGGAGAATGTTATATTCCTATTTGGATCGGTGCACTAGATATTAAGTTATATGAGGTTTGATAAGAGTTTAAATTAGGTTATAGTTTGAGGTCCAAAATCTTGTGAAATAAGGAAAGTTTTGAAGCCAATTAAAGGGGTCCTATTTATTTCCTTTTGCGTGAACCGTTGTTTGATGAGCTTAGAGTGTTAGTCAAGTCGGCCCTTGGTGATGAGTAGTAGAGACAACTTGGCCTAGCCCTATATAAGCTTTAAGACACTGCTCTCATCAGACATATTCTCTAACCTTAATCTCATCATAAAAAGTGAGCTGAAATAGTTTATGAGAGAGAGTAGAAGTCTTAAGCCGTTCGTGCCTTTTGCTCGTGTTGCCGCTACTGCAATTAAATGAGTTCTGAGATCGTGTACTCAAGGAAGATGACGCCATGTATGTCTTCTATGTATTTCAGGTTGTGTGAAAGATCATGGACATTACAGAAATCTAACACTTATGACTAAGGGAACATGTAATTCCAATAGAAAAGATAGATCTTGCTGCCATCTCACACATTTTCTGCGACATAAAATTAAAATTGTATTATAAAAACACAAACAAATCAAAGCTCTTTTCATCTTACATTAGAGCAACTCCAGCGCTGCTTCAAACCAGGGCAAAAGGCCCCACTCGCAAGCCCAAGGGAGCTCCAGCACGCAGCCTCAAGCCTGGGCAAGCCTTGGGTCCCACTAGCCCGGGCAAGCCCAAGGGCATGTTTCGCCTGGGCTTCACCCCGAGGGCGCTGACGTTGCCCCTGACAGACTCCAACGGGCATGTGACACGTGTCACAACCGGGACTCTCCGATCGGTTTTTTTCCAGAAATCCGACGGTCCTCGTTTTTTTGGCTAAAAAAATTGCAAAAAAAATGGAAAAAATTCTGAATTGTTTTTAAAAAAATACCAAAAAATCAGATGGGTTTTTTTCCAGAAATCCGACGATCCTCGTTTTTTGGGCTTAAAAAATTGCAAAAAAAATCGAAAAAAACCTGAATTTTTTTTTAAAAAATACCAAAAAAGTCTGTATTTTTTCCCTATAAATACCTAACCATTTTATTTACTTTCCACACCAAATCTTCATACAATTTCTTCTCCATCCAATATTTTTTACTCTTCACTCACATTATTCACTTTCCATTTACTTTCCACACCAATTCTCCATACAAACTCTTCTCCTTCCAATATTTTTTACTCTCCACTCACATTTTTCACTTTCCACACCAATTCTCCATACAAACTCTTCTCCTTCCAATATTTTTTACTCTCCACTCACATTTTTCTACTACTTTCCATTTGTATAAAAAACAAAAACAAATGGCATCTTCTGTCGAAGCCGGAGGCTCGTGGGCAACTCAGGAAGATATTGCGTTGTGTCAGTCTTGGGTGAACGTTAGTCATGACCCTATCACGGTCAATGAGATGAAGTTCCATCATATGTGGAGCAAAATTCATGGAGAATTTTGTCAAAGATCAGGTTCCATTCGCACCGAAATGGCCTTGTCTAGTAGATGGAAAATTATGAATAAAGAGTTAGGGAAATGGAGAAATGCCTTGACAAAAGCAAGGGAGAACATTCGAAGCGGTCAAAATCTATCCGATGAGGTAAAATATTTATAATTGCCATTTTAATCAATTTAATGTAACTTTTTTATTTATTGCATATTCTATTTCTTTTTCTTGCATAATCTTTTTTTTTCCTTTTTGCATTTCCAATTTGTCTATATTTTCTTGCATAATCAATTTTATTCTTGCATTTCAAAATAGTTTGTATTTTCTTGCACTTCCAATTATTTATTTTTAATAGATCATACAAGCACAAATGTGGTTCGGTGCCATGGGGCATGGCAAAAAAAGTTTCGTGCATTTTGATCGGTTCATAATTACATATCATTTTGTACCCTTCTAGCTTATGATTTGGTTATGTTTTTGAGTTAAACTTGTGCTTTTAATCCTTTTTGTGTTTATCTTTCAGCTTTAGGTAACAATGATGGATTTGGATAGGAAATTATGCAATCCATGCATGTTAAAGCCTGATTTGGATAAAGGGAAGAAGAGCT